AAGGCCTCTGCTTCAGACTCCAGCTGTTTTCTGCCGAAGCTCAGACTTTGGCACAAGATCGGGAACGATGGAAGCACTGTCAGATGCGTCTGACTAAGCAAACCCAAAAGGAGAATGGGTGAGGGAAGATGAAGATAGGAACTGTGATCTCTTAACTTGATAAAGTAGATACACAAACGAAGGAATCTAGAATTCCTGCTTTCCGAACCTCACAGAGCCTCGTTATACCAGCATGGCTCTGAAGCAATTTCCTTTCGTTACTTTTATCAGGAATCGCATTATTTTGGATGATGTCTAGTATTCATGACCTGCCTATCGTCACTTGTGAAGAGTAATCGAAAAAAATCTTTTTACCTACCTTAAGTGCATTCCCTTTTCTCGCAGAGCACACTGAAAGGTCTTCGTAAAAGTACAGTTTCTCTGCCTCATGTTCGTCCCAAGCTCATCGCATACGCTTATCAGGTGAATGTGAGAGGTCAGCAATAGAGAAACGAACAAAATCATATTATCTCCAAACAATAGTTGATCTGATAAAGCACTGTCAACTGCGACGTCTGCCGCGCAAAGCGTACATCTGTTGATCCAATCACAAAATTATGAAAAGGTAAAGACAGCACACATCCCTTTCCGAGTCACGGATATCCTGACGAACACTTATTTCCTGCCGTCAGTCCAGTAACACACCTGTCAGTAGCAGTCCTTAAATCTAGGGGTTTTAAATTTGCGCAGTAAATATCCCCATTAAATGCATTGACCACAATATTCCTACAAAGTCGCCACAGCTTTGAGCGCATTATCAAGTAAATATTTTCCAGGCACAAGCCTCGTTTGCATACGTTCAGCCGTTTTAAGCGGGTCAGCGGGGAGTAAGGATGGAAGACACCTTAAATGCCATTCTCATCCAAAATTTTCTACTCTCTCATTTCTCAGTATCTCCTAGTCGCGTGGTTTGCGAAAAACTTATCGATAAAGCTTGGATAAAACTGCCTGTTGCAGTCCCTACGAGGTTTCCAACTTTTACAAAGAAAGAATCATACAAGACTGCTACAGTTACGGCATCCTTCCAGAAAACCACCCCACCACATTGACGAGCCACTTAGAGAATGCCGTCCTGATTTAAGGTCTTTGAAAATTACTGACGCCTCTCGTCACATTACATCTCCCCAGCAATCCAGCCGTTTCAGTGATTTGATCACCAGTGTCAGATCGAATACAAACCTAGACGGAGGAATAGAATCACTGCCTGAATCAACTTTCAAATAGAGCATGGCTAAATACTCTCATCACATCGCCTATCATCTAAAGGGAAAACGAAAACTTATGCGTTAGACGAATGGTAGATTAATGCAATACATAACACAGGACGTCTTGAAACGGAATGAAAATAACATC